TTGTTTTCGTTGTTATGTAGGGTCAGCAGTCCAAAACGATCGTTCACGCCATCCATCCCGCCCTCCTCTACGAGCTCCTCCTTGACCTTCAGGTTTCGGCTGGGAGAAAGGAACGGCTGGTTGCTTGGCACATGCATGCTCACAATGTTGGTTAATCTGTCCTTTAAAGACCGTCCTAGCGGGGGACGACGAGCAACGGGACGTTCCATGGCATATTCCGAGCCTGGAGTCTCAGCTATGCCTTGGTATACAGGTTCACGGAAGGAAATCATACTTTCCGTTTCAGGGAATGACAGCTACGACTTCCGTGCAAATTCAGGGCTGTTTAATAGCACATCAGCCTCTGCTAGACTCGAGCCTTTGCATATGCCAATGGCTTTGCGACCTTTGACATTCCGGCCAATCATCATGCGGCATCACACAGTTGCTGGCGTGCGTGCTCACGTATGCCGTCAAAGCGACAAGAGGATGAATCATCACCAATAGGAATGCTAGTGCTTGGCCCTCAAACATGTGAAAGCACGCGCCGCAGGTCACCAGAAGGGCTTTGTGGAGTCAGAGCTGCTCCGAAACCGGCATGAAAAGAAATCATGCGAAGGGCTGTTTAAAACTAATAGCGGTGCGGGAGGTTGCCTTAATAGGATTTCAGAAATTTATCATCTCTCCTGACTGGCCATTTGTTATTGGTAAATGGAGTATTGCTTGGAGCGTTTTCAAAGGGTCTAGTTCGCCGATCTACCACCGTTTCAACATATGTATTCTGAGGAATAATTGTACCCGAAGGAAGGAAAAACATGGTGAGAAGGAGGAGGGAGAGAAAACAGTCGTCCTCGAGGCTTTCGGATGTTACTCTAATCCATTAGAAGAATTGCCCTGTTTTGGAAAATAAGGGAGTAACTATTGGCCTTAATACACCGCAATAAGCGATGTGTCGTCCAGTTACTACCAGCGGAATAAATCCACGGTCATGGGCTCAAGAACCTTAGTAATCCTGTCAGGAAATCATTTAGAATTTGTTAGCTAGCCAGAGAGAGAGGAAGGTCGCCGCAAATTGTCAACTGGATTTCACCATTTGAGGGGACAGTAACGTTAACTGATTGTCCGAATTAACCGGTAAGCCATTTTTCATATTTGCAAGTAGAGTCTCGTCATTGTCTGAGAAACAATTCTACAGCAGCCCTTATCAGAGCAGAAGTGTTGTCATTTTTAGCCTCTGAAGTCAAATTGTTAAAGACAGCTGCGTTTGCGGAGCACCCAGACGGCCAGAGGGGAAGACAGCGATTTGAACCTACCTCAGGGCAGACATTTTCTGGCCGCTAATTTTACTGATCTCGAAAAAAATAAATAGAGAATTAAGTTAGCTACTTAAAGTGGTGCTGAGAAAATGAGATTCGAATAGACAATAATCTGGTTGGGGACCACCGGTTGCATTTCCAGGTATTGATTCGGGTGGCATATCCCCAATAATGACTTGGGCCGAGGGGTAGTGACATCAGGTGTAAGCTATATGATGTTCGTAATTGGTAGGCGAGGCAAATGCATGTAAGAACCTAATTTCAACAGTAGAGCTAAATGGTATGGCTGATACGCCTGAAGCTCGTGCGCAGAAAGGAATATTTAAAGTTTAATGCAGCGTTGTGAAGGCAACGGCGGCAGCAGTCAGAGCCCGCCTGCTGAATCCCAAATAGTCCTCCTTGTCCTGAGCGTTTAGTTAGAGGAACTTCTGTAGGACTGTCGGACTAAACACCTATCTGGTTTTTCATAGTGTCAAATGTCCTACCTGATAGATCTCCTACAAATATCTGGAATTAGGATTTTCTTCGGCATGATTTTAATTACGACATGCCATTTAACATTTAAAAAGTCAAGCAGACTATCTTTGCCATAATAAATTACAATTTTCATTTTCTTCGAGAAACATGCAGTTTAAAAACCTGCTGCTACCCCGGACAAAACAGCACTCGGAATAATCGAAAAAAGTAAAGCATTCTGCCCACTGTAGTACAATGGTAGAATCACCAAGAGCATGGAAGAATTGCCGACTGTTGAGTACGGATTCATAAGGAGTTTTTGAAGGAAGACTATCGGCATTGGCTTAGAGGGCATTTATTAACCAGAATGTCATTACCGACAAAGACAAGGGAGACTGGAATGGCCGTTTCTGGCTTATTAGCCGTCGTCAGCCTGTCATACCCAACCCCGAAGTGTGGAACACCCGAGGCTCGAACTCGCGACCTGTTAGTTGGAAGTCCACGCCTCTAACCACTGAGCCACGAGCCCGTTGCCCTGTCGGTTTCGGTCGGGAATATACAATGGTGGGGGTGAGTTCCGTAAGAACGATCGGTGGGCGCCCCTACCATTTTATATTCCCGATCGAAACCGACAGGGCAACGAGCTCGTGGCTCAGTGGTTAGAGGCGTGGACTTCTAACTAACAGGTCGCGAGTTCGAGCCTCGGGTGTTCTACACTTCGGGGTTGGGTATGACTGGCTGACGACGGCTAATAAGCCAGAAATGGCCATTCCAGTCTCCCATGTCTTTGTCGGTGATTATATTCTGCTTATATTATGCGCCGCTGTGTGGCTGCTGGTTGGGCTCGAGATAGATCCCACAAGGCACAACGGAACGGGTGAGTTCCACAAGAACGACCGGTGAGCGCCCCCTACCATTTATTAACCACGCATACATTTGTTTTATGAAATATAATTGCAGACGACACATCAATCGCCGCGAAGGACGATGTTTATCGTGTGCCCCGGGGAATGGGAGGCTCAGGAGCAGTGACTTGCACGTGAATCAGTTCACAATGGCGGTAGACTTGCACGACATCTACAGAGCTCTCTTCTCCCTCACCCAGCCGGATCCGGTGTGAAGACAGAGTCAAGAAGACCGGAGGCGAGATCGGGCGCAGTGACTGACAGGGCTAAAAGCCCATCCATATGGGTCACACGCGTCTGGTTCGCGCACGATGGACCAGGTTTTGCGCAGAATCGCGAAAGCAGGCTACTTGGATCTCAAATGAATGGGGCTGTCATAGAGCCCACATTGAGAAAAAGCCATTGCAGCCTGACTCTCCGTCTGGAGAGGAGGACCGAGGAATGGCAGTCATCCATACCACGGCTTTATCGCACCGTGATAGTTTAGAAACGCGACAGATTGTTTACAGGGAGGAATATGCGCCGAATGCCGTCGGGCCGGACTGCCCAGATTTAAACTCTCTCTCTCTCTCTCTCTCTCTCTCTCTCTCTCTCTTTCTCTCTCTCTCTGTCCATTCTAGCTCCCAGGCGCCAGTCCACTGTCCGAGGTGGTCAGCCCTCTGATGCAGGTCTTGGAAGCAAGTGGCTGACAGACTTAAACAGCCCGTCTAAACGTGCCACACGCGACCTGGCCCGACACAAGACACCGGTCTTCCGCACAAAGGGGGGGTTGGTTGCACGGACCGCAGATGAGTTAGAGTATCTTGGAGGTCACGTGGGGAAGAATACGAAGAAGGACTTTTGCGTCTACCTGAGAAATGTCTATTCTGTGCCTGTGGTGAGTGATGTGGGACGGGTCTGTGTATGGTATGTGTGTTGGTGGGGATATGCGTGGTAATGGGTTTTATTACGCAGGGATTTCAGCCATGGTGCCTTGCTACAGTGCCACTCTAAAACCTTTCATTAATATTCTATCTTATCTGAGTGTCGTTTGCCGTTTTTAATCGAAAAAAACAATAGGTGAGAGCCTGTCCTTGTCGACTAGGGATCAGCACGTTTTCGACGGGCGAGATATGAGAGGAATGCATGGTCGGCATCATGACCGGATGCCTCTGAAATTGATTTAATTGTCCAACAACTGGACCATAATGTGAACGAGAAGAGAGAGGGTAAACCGATTCCACCACTGTTTCCTATCAAAAGCCCAATAGGTAACAGTTGGATCAGCGGTTTCTTGAGATCTGGGGTCAAAAGTGTAGCTAGCAGGCGATAAACTGACCATTCGACTATGGCTGGGCAGTGTTTTCTGCTACATAACGTAACTTTTTAGGAAATCCTGCAGAGTTGACTATTGAAGCATGTTAAGACCGACTTAGCTGGGGTATAGGACTCCATCTTTAATCACATGCATAGACTAGGACGAATCGGTTATCGTGTAGATTGTTGATTCCAGGAAAGAAAGAGATTGAGGGTGACGTTACACAAGTTTCTGTCGCGATACTGCAGCCAGCAGCAAGTAATTTTTCACAGAGTCGGTTATACTCATTTGGAAAACGACGAGCTACGGTCACCAGGGCGCAAACCTGCATGCCCCTTTGAGGCCCGATCCTTAAAAGTGGCCACTCGAACCTTCCATCTATACTTCAGGGGTAGTTAGAGAAATTGGAAATGCTTTGAAATAGATTATGCTTGTTTTTTTGACGGAAGAAACCTTTTGCAGTGGTTTTTGCTACATCTCGCCTGTCACAAAAACCGAGAAATCTATTACTGCTGTCTTGGCAACAATGAAGTCATACAGTCGGAAAATTTTCCATGGTTTGCTGCGAGCTCTTATGCGGAAATTTATTCTACCGAATTCTCACCTGAACCTCCGTCTGGTCGACGGCTTTGCAAGGACTTTCGAGCCTACCCTGGATCCCACCGACCAACACCTAAATTATTCGCCGCTGTCTGACGCGTTGTCGCCAGGGTCAATACGTACTCCGCTCCAAACTTTTTGGCGACTAAGCACACTCCTGCCAGTCA